GGGCAGCTGGAATCCCGCACAAGGGGCGCAAAATGGAGGCGGCTCCCAACAACATCATCCTTTTCCCCTTTTTAATCCTTGCTTTCAGAGCTTCCCCTCTTCACTCTTTCAACAATCTCAGAGCTGTGTTGCACTATTTTGAAAACCAGTGTTTAATTTCTTTTTATTTTCAGTCCTCCCCATTTCATTCAGAATTAAGTCTCAGGAGGGGGTATTTATTTATTTAATTTTATTTTTACCCACTTCTCTCCTTTAAAAAGACCCAATGCAGACTATCATTAAAAAACCATTTTAAAGCTAACAGAAGGAAGTATGCAAATACTAAAATTCATCAAATACAACACTAAATAAAGGGTAAGCTCTTTTATACTGGGGAGCCCTTTCCTAGATCAGAAAAACTGGCCTTCAACCTGGAGGGGCAAAATAAACCTCCAGGATGCTGATGGATTTGGGGTGAGGGAGCTGAAAAAGTTTCCTTACCCTCCATTCTGCCCCACAAACCTTTCTGGTCCCTCTCTCTGAACACCCTAGACGTTCTTCCCAAGAGCCACGATGTGCTTGCTGATGCTGGAGAACTCCGTGGAAGCAAAAGTCTTGCCCAACCAAGAGCCATTATCAGGAGACCCTTGAAGGCGCTTCTGACAGCGATCCAGTCTGCACCACAAATGACCAGTAGTCCTGGACTGCCGCGGAACTGTGTTGCTGCAGCAACCACGTCAACAGACCAGGCTCTGGAATCCAGCAGAACAACCACTCCTTTTTAAGTGAAAACTAGTCTAAAGCTTTCCCAGGACTGGACAGCCACCCAAGGAGGACGACACGGGCGGTGAGCAACAAGTTGTGAATGGGGCAGCCAGCGAGGGGAGGGAACACACAGTACCTTTGCGCACAGCACATATGCCATGTGCACAAAGCGTGATGAAGTGCTCCAAGCTCATCTCTACTACAGACCCAACTGCTACATATCAAAAGGAATCGCAAAACTTTCTTTAAAGTTGCCGTTTGTTCAGTCCTTTGGTTTCAATCTCAATTCAAAGGTCACCTATTTTTCATAGACCAAACTGGTTCACAGGTGATCCTGTTTTATTTTATAGAAAGATGAAGATATTTGACAGGCTTCTGCCCGGTGGAAAGATAGTGGGTGGGCAAAGAATAGGGAAGTGTCATCCAGGCTGAACACCAGATGTGCCAGACTGACCCTCCCAGTGGCGCCAGTGGCTTGGAGACCAACGCTCCCCCCTCTTCACTTTTTCTCTCCCCCGTCCCCCTGCAGAACATTTCTTGCTCCAGTAGAAGCATGAGTGACACTTCCTCAGTAGGACAGAGCAGGTGGGACACCTGTAAAGCTGCACTGTGGGGAGTTTGAGGCTGTTGTGACACTCGGGGTACCCAACGCCTGGCTTTGGAACAGCCAGAAGGCTTTCCTGGGATACAAGCAGAGGGTCATGGATGGTTGAGTCCTTTGCCTCTAGGAAGAAGAGTAAGTTGGGGGTCCATCAGTGGATTGGGTGGAGCAGGGAGTGGGACCTCAGCCTGGCACAAGAACAGCCAGAAAGACCTCCTGCAGGGGAAGAAGGAACAAGGAAAGGGCCGGTGTAGTCCCGAAGGTTACACAAATGCAAGAGTGGGTGATTCCTTTTTGATTGCATTAAAAATAAAGCAAACAGCAAGCTTTCCTGGATGAAATCCACTTCCTCAGGCTCTAAGCGCACACCGTTCATGGATGGTGCAGAAATGGATGCTGTGTGTCTTTTTTGAGATGATCAGTTATTCTTGAGAGGTTCTGACTGCCCTTGTAGCAAGATTTGGAAAACCCACACAGTTAAAAGAAAAGATTTCAATAGGCCAGAGATGGTTGTGGGATCGAATGAGTCAAGTCTTGGCTCAAAGTGGGTGAATGAGAGAGTCTACAGCTGGGGGAGGATTTGGGGCTTTGCTTGCAGGCTATTAAGGGGGTCTCGGCTCTCCAGGCTGAAAAACTGAGTCACTGCTTGCTCTTCCATCTTGCCCTGGCCTGTGTGCATGCGCACACACACACACAGACACACATTTCCTACTTCCACCTGATGTTGTTGCTTTATGTCTGTGTGGACCTTGTGAAAGGTTATGAGGGGGTGGGTGCCTGAGCCTTAATGATCAGCCGGCTTTAGGCTTGTTGGCTGGTTTGCTTGCTTTATTCCCATACTGCCTCAAAATAAAATAAAATAAAGCAAGGCGGGGTAGTGTGTGCGTGTGGAGGTGGGGAGAAGGCTCAAAGGAAAAGAAACTGTTGAAAGTTTTTTGGGAACTCATTTAAGTTCCAGTAAAATGCACAGCGGAAGGCCAGCTACTTGAGGGACAGAATTAGCTAAGGAGCCCCCTTTTGTCCACCCTCACCAAGGATTAGCACTTTAGAAAATAATACTCAGGAAGCAATTTAGGTATAAAAAGGTTTCTGTATTTTACTCACATAAAATGTCCATTTCTAAAATGGGCAGTTTTCCTTCTCAGCCCATGTGGCTGGATCTTTTCGGTTCAGTGATCCAGCCTGGAGGTCTACCATCTTCCCAGGTGAAAAAAAAGCATGTGAACAAAAAACCGCATGGTGGGACAAGGGGCGGAGCTTATCTAGCCCGGGAACAACAAACCCCTCTGATTAGTTAGCATGCAAACAAACAAGCAAAACAAGTTAGTCTGTAATGCAGGCCCTTCCTCCCACATCTTGAGATTTGCATTTGGATTACTAACCATCCAACAACCCTCCTCAATCTAGCATGCTAAATTTCAACAAGTCCCATCATGCTTCGCAGTTTCTGGAAGCGATCTCTTGGTAGCGGTTTTCTCAGGATGTCTGCTGTCATCTCCGCGGATGGACAGTAGGTCATCTGAATGGTACCCTTCTCAATCAGGTCACACACGAGCTCATATCGTACATCGATGTGCTTGGTGCACACGTTCATCTGCTCTCCCTGCGCCAACTTAATGCAGCTTTGATCATCTTCCATTATCTGGAATGGCATTCCTCCATCTATCTCGAAGTCCATCAGCAGTTCCTTCAGCCATAGCAGTTCTCTGCATGCTTCTGCTGCTGCAACAAACTTAGACTCTGTAGAAGACAAAGCTACAATATCTTGTTTATGACTGCCCC